CCCTTGTCATTACATACATTCAGTGCAGGGTCCATGGAGCTGCATGGATCTTGATTTCGGCTCATCACACACAGAAATGCATAGGCACAAATATCTCCTTCTCCTGGTCTGTGTGCGACTCAGCGTGAAAAAGATAGATCTCCAATAGTGAAGCACCATCAAAAGTTTATTAAAACAAGCCAAAAAACTACTTACAATAAATCTTCACTGTAAACACATATAGTGTATAACGCCGCTGGTGTCGGCTCCAGCAAAGCATGGATGACGTCACAACAAACGCTGTCCTACCCTGACATACATCTATTACCCTATGTGTTGTCCTTGCACATATAAGCATTTACAGGCAGAAAAAAACACTGCTAGCGTGTCTAGGAACAGCAGCGTTTTGGCAGAAAAAAAGCTTAATGCATGTAAGCGTGAGTAACACTATATGTGTTTAGTGCTTGAGTGTAATTCATTTAAATGGCCAGAAATGATTATTCTTGCCAATGAAATTAATGAACATCCAAGCACTTGACATGCCTAAACACATTACACAAGTTTACAAGCTTCAAGCATTTTTATTGCCAAAACACTGGAAGTTGTGGAAAGATGCGGCCAGCAGACAGGTAACACTCATAACATAAAAGGAGGTTTTACAACTAATTATATATTGGATTGTCAAAATAACTATTGTTTGTATTGCTATCACAATGTTGATGTTATAAAATAAAAGTGTACTCTGTAATTATAGAACTCTTTTAATTACATACTTTCATGGTTTTGTTTTGCTAGCTTGAAACATTTTCAAGTCAAGAGATTGCTGTCTGTTCGAGTAATTACATTTTTATATTCTAGAGAAATACAGACTTGGATAGAAAATCCCCAGAAAATAAATACAGACCTGAAACAGAAATAATAATAATGTAAGATATCTTTATTTGATAACAGAATTTAATATATTTTTTCTGCAAAACATCTAGTTAAAGACAATATACACAATATAACGTCATCAAAAATATGCCATTTAGGTATTAAATCTCACTTGAAATTTTATGTTTAGACCATTACAAAATGGCATACGTATTTATCATCTTGTAGCCAAGATGGCACTGAGCCTAGTAAAATATGAAATATCGGCTGTGCAAAACAACGTTTTCATTTACAAGTACACAGACAACACTCAGCATCTCGGAATGTAGCCGAAGACAAAATGTTTTATTTATTTGGCACAGCGGAGACTGAAAACACTCATACCCTTTGGATGATTGCTATAAAAAGGCACTCATCGATTTTATTCTGTAGGTCTGTAGAAGACTTGCTATATATAGCAGGACTGACATTTTCAAAAGAGTGTGGGGGGCTTGTGTTACATATCATCTGGATTAGGAAAGTATCAAATAATTTGGAACAAATGTGTGAAAACAGGTGTGCAGCATATAGGCAGAGAAGAAGCTCATTACACAGTGTGCGGATTCAGCTTGTAGTCAGCTATACAGAGCCCCAGTGTAAAAGACAACACTGTATGGCTCTTCTGGAGAGGCCTGTACAAACTGCAATAATGTGGGGTAACAGGGAATAATCAATAAACGTTAATCGGAGTACACAATGCCTCTGAAAACTGAAATCAGTTCTCACACACCAGAATATAAATCCCTTAGTTGTCGTAGATTTAACATAAGTGTGATGTGTGATGTTTTATATACTGCATGACATGCAAGAATACTTCCCTTTCAAGAGCTGGGTCATTGACTATGTTTTTTTTCCATCTGAGACTGCCGACAAATTTGGCACAGGCATTTTTCTGAACTTTAGTTCACAGGGGAGTCTGATGCACAAATACTGGAGAAGGTAATTTAGGGCACTGCGGTGCTTCTTATCTATAGATATACTTTAAAGCCCAACTTCAAGAAACTTGAAAATTATCCCGTGCAGTGGGGCAGAGCCCATACTGCAAGGGTAACTAATCGGTTAGGTCTAGGCGACTTTGCAAAGATGATTTACTTATCCGATTGCCGAGAGAGAGGTCCCTGCAGTGCCTTCTCCACTACGATTCAGAGGTCTAAGGTCCTGACATCATGAAAGCCAATATAGGGTCCACAGCTCTGCACAGAGCATGATGATGTCAAGGAACAGTCCACTGCTGGAGCTTAGGGGAGTGCCATCTGCTGGGGAGTGGAGGAAGTAAAAGTGCTTCCCCTCTCCCCTAGACTAAACAAGCAACTAACATTTGCAGTGTCACTGCAAGGGATAATTTTCAAGTTTCCTGAAGTTGGCTTTAAACCAGCTACCCTAATTTAAAAAATATATATATAAAAAAAGACTCAAACCTTCAGTAGGGTGCAAACTTATATTCTGGCATAACACATCTAATCCCATTGATGCAGTTGTTTACTTTTCTTTATATATTTAACATCCGGTTGAACAGTCTAACCTCAATAAGCTATAAAACAGAAAATCCAAAACTACAACATTAGTAAACTAGAAAATTAGCATGTTTCTATAAAATGACACTTTTGGCAGTATATATGGCAGATACAAACAGCCAACACTTCAGGTCTGCATTCCCTGCCACACAGAACCTGGTAGAACCTGTGGCCCCTTAACAGCCAAAGTTTCACAGCTTATCTCAGCCTACTCTATGGACATTAAAAAATGTTTTTAAGACATTAAGTTTTAACATTTTAATTGAATCATCAAGTAAACTAGTGTCATATGATGAATTTATTGATACACTTGCAGTCGATCAAGGTTATCAATGTAATAAATTTATGGATGTAGCCTATACACAGAATTGGTCTAAATTTCATTACTAAATGTGTGCAGTCCATCTGCAGAAATCTTCAGTTCTCATCCAGCTACTTTGTCACTTAAAGTAGTTGTAAACTCATTTTTTGATTTGTACCTACAGGTAAGCTTATAATAAAGCTTACCTGTAGGTACAAGGAATATCTCCTAAATGAGCACCATTTAAAAGATATTCTCTAGCTCTTCAGCCAGTGACTCCACCGATGCATGCGCACTGCATTCTGAAAGGATGGCGCTCCCTTCAGAGCGCTGTGCCACAATCGTGGCTCCCGTGAGTATGCGAGGGAGTGCTGTCATCGTGGCTCGGCCCACAAAACCGGAAAGAAGACCAGGTAAAAACAGAAACCCTGTCAGGTAGCATGGCGCTGGAGCGCTTCGTTTTGGGGTAAGTCCAGGGGTGGACTAAGAACTCATGGGGCCCCCGTGCAATAATGGATCATGGGGCCCCTGTGTCCTTGCTTAAACTCAAAAAAGCCTATGAAATAAGTACAAGGGGCATCTCATGGGGCCCCCTACTGAACCCGGGCCCTCGGGCAGTGCCCGAGTTTCCAAATGGTCAGTCCACCCCTGGGTAAGTCTTTAATAACGTGCTAGCATGCGATGCATACTAAACACATTGTGACTTTGTCTAGCAGAGAGAAGATTTTTCTTTTTAATCAGCCTTTACTAACGCTTTATCAAAGACTATATATGCTAGGGACAAAATGTATCTGGCTTTGAAACCTTTGTATTGGCCAGCACTTATTTTAAAACTTCTGTTTAAGAAACAAGGTATGAACAATGTCCTAAATTAGCATAGTATACAACATTTACTTGCTGAAAACTGAACTCTCATTGTAATGAGGCCCTTTTGTATTTTTTTTTTTTTAGTTCACTTGTCTACATCTCTGTTCTATATTTTAACATTACAGGGAACTTGAATGGATATTCTACAAATAAATAAAAACTTCAACTTTAAAAGTAGTACAAATGCAAGTTCAAGATCTTTATATAAACCACATTACAAAAGAGAGATTAAAAAATTCAAGTACATTCACTTAATTCCAATCGTTTTGTTTGTATGTATGAATACATGCAGGAAAGTTTACATTTTAGCAAAACATATAGCTAGGATATGCATTTCCATGAATCATCTAATCAATCAATGTGGAAAAAAAGGGAAAGAAGAAGCCCCCAACCGATTTAACACCAAAAGAAGGTGAGAAATGACAGGAATTGTGATTCATTGAACAAGTGGAGTACTTCCAGCTCAGCTTTATATTTGAGCTCTTGTGTGGTAGCATGTCTCACCAGGACCAATGTGGAACTGTCTCTGTCCAAAAGGGTCCCATAAAGCACATACATAGTCATCGCTTAGCAACAGCCCTGAAGAATTTTTGCTGGTTTTTACTCTGCCCTAAATTCCTGTTGAAACATAAGAAATCGTATATATAATTTATGCATTAACAGCCATGCACAGTTATAAAAGGGGCTGATGCAAGTCATGCTGGGAAGTCTAAACTACAGGACATGAGTAGGAATACCGTCTTATAAAAGGTGCCACATTTAATATAAATTGTAACGTAGCCATGGGCAACAGGACTTCAGAAATGCTTTGTGCTTTCAAATAAAGCCATAGTGCACCTTGCAGAAAGTATGAGAATGTAACATTAATATATACGTCTAGCTAAAACTTTTTTCTTTTCGTTTTGGATATGCTGGGAAAGGATTAGAACCTCTGTAGGATTTTACTGCTATCTGGAGATCCATTGGAGATACCAACCCTCACTTACTGTTCCTGTGACAACTAAACAGGAAAAAAAAAAATCGGCAACACCTACAGAACTTTTTTTTTGTGTTGTAGGGGAAGCCTAAGACCCCCTATAACTTTTTGGTTTTTTTTGCAACCTGTATCCCAGTTGCAGATTCTCCTTCAGTTTCTGCCTGGTGAAACAGTTGGTACTCCAATAAGTGAGGGGATCTCTAACTAGCAGAAATAACACAACAGAGGTTCTAATCCTTCTCCACTCTTACCAAAACTAAAAGAAAAAGTATAAGCTGGACATATATGTTCTGAAGTGATGACGTGAACAATGAGCAGAACACATTTCCTGCTAAATATAAACTTGAATATATTTTAGAAATCATGACCTCAGAACAGGAACAGTGTTCAAAAAAATAGGACCAGCATTACTGATTTTGGGGGGGGGGGGGGGAGGGGAGGAGCGGTGGTCTCAACAGCCGCATTTGCCTTTATCTTTGTCCTCAGTTAACTGCTCAGTAGAGCTGTGGCCATTGGACCGTACCACCCCTTGGGGTATCCAAGACTTGTCCACACACCGTTCCATGCGTTTCATGATCAGATCCAGCAAAGTATCCACCGCCTTATTGACATTAGTTCCCTCTGCAGCACTTGTCTCAAAGTAAGGAATTCTGGAAGCACACAAGCAGAAAAAAGTTTTACCATGATTGGACTTAAGGGAGCATAAGACATATGTGCTCTGCACAAAAAGTTCAAAAAATTAATATTGGCAGCCATTTGATAAAAGACTGTAAACTCACCGCCTTGACTGAAGATTGATTTATCAACAAATCATTAAAAGAAACCTGTGCAAAAAAAAAATCACCCAAAGGCTGCCATTATTTTATTTCTGGATGAGGATCTTTGCCTGTATGCCAAGTCGACTCAATCTGGGGAATGCATTAAGAGTGTCAGACACTTACGGGTTGGGCCTTTGACTTACTAAAACTGGAGCGTGCAAATATCTGGTGCAGCTCTACATAGAAACCAATCGGCTTCCAGGATTTTTTTGTCAAAGCTTAACTGAACAAGCTGAAGTTAGAAGCTTATTGGCTGCCAGGCAGAGATGCACCAGATTTTGCACTCTCCAAATTTTAGTAAATCAAACCCTCAAATTCCCTCACTCCTCCACAAATGCTGGTGCCAACAGGTGACGCATTCATGTACTTGTTGGGAACAGAAATATGAATCTATCACATGAAGTGTCAGGAGGCTACAGTGATGTCAATTACAAAAAAAGGCCATGGCTACATTAAGACAAGGCAGAATGTGAACCAGCATTCCCACCCTTTGCTTCCCTTTAGCTGTTGGCTGCAGAATGTCACCACCGACAGCTGAATGGAGCTGGGTCAACTGTTGCTGTTGCTAGGAAGATGGCAGCCGCTGGTGTCCTAGCAAACCCTGTTCTGGAAACTGTCAAATGATGACAGTCTCCTAGAACATATAATCAACTCTGAGCACCAATGTCTTTCTGTATTCCAACTCAGAGCTGGCCTTCATTACTGACAGTTTGCTTATCTGTAAACTGGTGGTGATAGTTTTAGAATCTGTATACTGACAGGTTCTAAAAGTTGCGGTAGTACAAACTACCTCAATCTGGAACGTGTCGTACTGGTGCCGAAACTGGTGTACAGCTTTCAAGAATTAGGTGTAGGCCATGATAACGGGGCCATACCACCAGAAGAGTGCTTATTGCTTTATTGTACATCTAAAAATGTCTTTAAAGCAGATTTCCATACAAACAATAACTAGTTGTAAAAATGTTCCCTCTCCCTTCCTGCTACCTAGACTGCCTAATCCGTGTAAAAAAAAAAAAAAAAAAAAAAAAAAAAAAGGAGATCTGTATACTTACCTATTTTAGTAAGTATACAGATATTTTTTTTTTTCTTTACACACAGGTTATGCAGTATACGCAGCAGGAAGGGAAAGGGAACATCATTTTTACGACTAGTTAATGTTAGGATGGAAATCTACTTTAATTCTATCTGAATCACTGACCTGAACAAACATGCAGAACAAAGATCCTGACTTTAGCCTGACTTCATTTGCTGCATGCCTGCTCCCTGTGAGAGGCTCAGAATGAAGCCAGTGGATCAGTACTACTGTCAAGCATCTAGCATTTTCAGAAGAAGCTCAGCTGACAGGGTTCTCTCAGGACAGATTTCCTTTAGCGAGAAAAAAGTTTTTTCCAGCTCATTTGAAAAGAACAGCGCTGTTTTATAGTAAATCCATGTTTTGTCAAGGCACTTCAAAGGAACAGGTTTACTTTAAAACAGACCTCCACCAAACGCATATACTTCCCTTTCATTCACTCCTCTGCCAATCCATTTAGCTGCAGACAGCAAAGTAATGTGGAAAAGTTGCAAGTCATCCAAGTTGTTGCTTACACTGTGAGCTATGTGGCAGTGCTGACTGACCCACCGCTGTCACAAAGGTAACCCCATATTTCTCCAGACCCAAAGTACCAGATATTTCCTTCAGCTCCTGCCATTAAAGTGTAAATTCACTTTTTCAGAAAAAAAATTAACATCCCCACCCAGGGTCCCTGTTGTACTTACCTCTCTAGGTGTTTGAGTTGTCAGTTCCCATGCAGCCATCTGGGGATTTGAAATCCCTGCTCTTCTTTCTGCAGCACTTCCCGGGTAGATCAGAGCTCTTCTGATTGGTTAGTGCCAGCAGAGTATTGCTCTGATCCATCCTAGAAGCGCTGCAGGAAGAAGAGGAGGGATTTCAAATCCTGAGCAAAGACTGTCATAGCCCACAGAGGTAAGTGCAGCGGGGACCAGAGGGCGGGGAGGGTGTATGGTGTTTGTTCACCTTTTTATGAAAAAAAATGCGCACACACACACACACTTTCATTGCTCTAAGATGGACCAATGTAACTATTTAAAAATTGCCATACCTACACCTCAGCTTAAAGGATACAAGTGCAATATAGATTTATTTTAGTATGTTGTATTAGAGCTATCAGGGTGATGATCAGTGCATAAGAGACAGTGTCAAATGCTCAATGTTGATTTACTGAAGACAAACAGGCAGTTCACTTTATAAGGGAATGTGGTGAAAATTCACTTTGCAAAGTAAACCCAATCATGTGCCAGGAAAACAAAAACCACAGTATTTTTGTTGGTGCACAACTGGATGATGGAAGTCAGCAGAGCTTCACCTCATTCACTGAGCTCAGAGGAAATCCCCTTACAATGCGAACAGCCTATTTGTCTTAAGCAGATCAACCCCACTGCATTCTCTTTTTCACTTATATCAAACATACACATCCAGTGGTGTCGTTTAGTATCAGGGTCTTGTGAAGAGCTAAAAATCAAATAAAATAAAATCACCTTAAAAGAGAAGTATGGCCAAAGCTTTGTTGGCTATACTTCTGTTCTGGGCCATAGGAGTGCACTTATTTCTGCTCTCCTGTGACTCAGATTCAGCTTTCGCCTGCTGTCATATGATGTCACAGAGCTGGCTTAGGATCTGCAAGGATCCTGACTTTAAGGTAATGGAATAGTCTAGAAGTTTATGTTTTTAATATAACAAGCAGATTTATACTTACCTGCTTTGTGTAATGGAACTGCACACTAAGTGGCTCTGAACCTCCTCTTCTTGGGTTTCCTAATGGCACTCCTGACGAATTCTCTTCTTGGTGTGCCATCATGATAAGCCACTTCCTATCGTGGCACACTTGGGTGATCAACCCTGAGCCCCGCTGCCTGTGTCATTGACACAGACAGCGAAAATCGGCCCAGCCCACTCGTCACAAGATCTGACGGACAGCAGCAGGAACCAATGGCTCTCATTGCTCTCAGCCAAGCCTGTGAGAGCGGAAAGAAGAGAGCTACTGCACACGGGCACTGCGTGGAGTTGAATGAGGGCTCAGGAAAGTATAAAGGGGTGTGAGGGGGTGACACTTTAACCTAAACATTTTTTACCTTAATACAAGGAATGCATTTAGGTTAAAATATTTAGGCTTTACATCCAGTTTAAGCCTCACCGGCAGCTGACTCAGCCTCTCCGCACCCTGCTGAGAGCCTCAGCCAGCCGCTCCTACAGCCTGGAGCTTCAGTGAGCACAGGAGGGGCAGAGCAGAGAGTCTGTGACTGACAGTCACCACTGTCTGCTAAGTGAAGATCGAGGGATCAGCGGTCATTGGTCATAGATTTGGTTCACATCATTTCAGTTTGAATTTTGTCTTTTTTTCCAGTGCTTTTTGTGTTGCATTTTGCGTTTGTGCACACATTTTTGACATTTGCTTTATGTGTTTTGCATTTTTATGCCTTTTTATTGTTGCTGGGCAGATGAAACACACAAAATGCATCAAAAAAAGGGTCACAAATGCACTACATGTATGTTTTACAGTGTCTCCATTGAAGTCTATTGAACCAAAAACACAATGTTTTGCAATTAAAAAGTCCCTGGCCTTTTCCAAAAATGCAGCGGCTCAAAAACGCAAACATGTGAATGTGTCTCATAGAAAACCATGTTAAATGGACTGTAGTGTGTTTCTGCAAAAAGCACTAAAAAACACATTGATGTGAACCAGGCCTTAGAGCTGGCAGGGGGCAGCTGCAGCGTCGGAACAATGCTACAGCCACATAGGTGAGTGTGTAGGTTTTTTTTTTTTTTTTTTTTTAATATCCCGCCCTTCTCCTTTAAAGAACCATTCACAGAAATTAGAAAGAACATTTATTGCATCCTGTGGTCTAGTCAAATGAGTCAGTATAGCTGAGCTGTCAATCAGCTGTAACAATACAAGGAAGGAACTGCTCACCCATATTTCTCTGCAAACTCTTTGGCCTCCTCTTCCTTTACAACTCTCTGATCTTCCAGATCACATTTATTTCCACACAACACAATGTCTGGGTTCTCACAATATGCATGGATCTGCAGCTGGCCTAAAATAAAAATATATATATCAGTAATCCCACAGTACATTGACAGAGGAATAAAACAATTCAGATGATTTATATGTTAGATTGTATTATGTCAGGACTAAAGGAGTTTTAAAGTCAATTCTATTATTACGACTTGTTAACACCTGTGGCAGTCTTTGAAGAGTGATCTGTAGTGGTCTGCATTTCAGAGAGTAGTACAGGAGTGGTACTGTCACCACCTGAATGCCTTGTTTAATTTTTACAGCCGAACAGGGCTTTTGTATTGGAAATTGGGTTACTGCAATGCAGCTGTGAACCTAGTGTTTGGCTCACAGGTGCTGTGCGGTCCCATTCATTTGAATGCATCGCAGGGAGTACAGGTGAAACTCGAAAAATTTGAATATCGTGCAAAAGTTCATTTATTTCAGTAATGCAACTTAAAAGGTGAAACTAATATATGTGATAGACTCATTACATGCAAAGCAAGATAGTTCAAGCTGTGATTTGTCATAATTGTGATGATTATGGCTTACAGCTCATGAAAACCCCAAATCCACAATCTCAGAAAATGAGAATATTGCATGCAATCAATAAAATAAGGATTGTACATAGAACAATATCGGACCTCTGAAAAGTATAAGCATGCATATGTACTCAGTACTTGGTTTGGGCCCCTTTTGCAGCAATTACTACCTCAATGCGGCGTGGCATGGAAGCTATCAGCCTGTGGCACTGCTGAGGTGTTATGGAAGACCAGGATGCTTCAATAGCGGCCTTCAGCTCTTCTGCATTGTTCGGTCTCATGTCTCTCATCTTTCTCTTGGCAATGCCCCATAGATTCTCTATGGGGTTCAGGTCAGGCGAGTTTGCTGGCCAATCAAGCACAGTAATCCCATGATCACTGAACCAGGTTTTGGTGCTTTTGGTAGTGTGGGCAGGTGCCAAGTCCTGCTGGAAAATGAAGTCAGCATCCCCATAAAGCTTGTCTGCGGAAGGAAGCATGAAGTGCTCCAAAATCTCCTGGTAGACGGCTGCGTTGACCCTGGACTTAATGAAGCACAGTGGACCAACACCAGCAGATGACATGGCTCCCCAAATCAACACAGACTGTGGAAACTTCACACTGGACTTCAAGCATCTTGCAGTGTGTGCCTCTCCATTCTTCCTCCATACTCTGGGTCCTTGGTTTCCAAATGAGATGCAAAAGTTGCTCTCATCAGAAAAGAGGACTTTGGACCACACTGAGCAACAGACCAGGTCTGGTTTTCTTTAGCCCAGGTAAGATGCTTCTGACGTTGTTTGTTGTTCAGGAGTGGATTGACAAGAGGAATACGACATTTGAAGCCCATGTCCAGGATCCATCTGTGTGTAGTGGCTCTTGATGCACTGACTCCAGCCTCAGTCCACTCCTTGTGAAAGTCCCCAACACTTTTGAATGGCCTTTTCCTGACAATCCTCTCCAGGCTGCGGTCATCCCTGCTGCTTGTGCACCTTTTTCTTCCACTTTTCCCTTCCACATAACTTTCTATTAATGTGCTTTGATACAGTACTTTGGGAACATCCAACTTCTTTTGCAATTATCTTTTGAGACTTTCCCTCCTTATGGAGGGTGTCAATGATGGTTTTCTGCACAACTGTCAGGTCAGCAGTCTTTCCCATGATTGTGATTCCTACTGAACCAGACTGAGAGATCATTTAAAGGCTCAGGAACCCTTTGCAGGTATTATGGCTTAATTAGCTGATTAGAGTGGGACACTTTGAGCCTAGAATATTGCACCTTTTCACAATATTCAAATTTTCTGAGATTGTGGATTTGGGGTTTTCATGAGCTGTAAGCCATAATCATCACAATTATGACAAATCACGGCTTGAACTATCTTGCTTTGCATGTAATGAGTCTATCTCATATATTTGTTTCACCTTTTAAGTTGCATTACTGAAATAAATTAACTTTTGCACGATATTCTAACTTTTCGAGTTTCACCTGTATACTTTTTATGTAGCATGGGTACAATGTCATCAGGCTGCAGTGTTATTTTAAGGTGGAACGGGGGGGGGGGGTGGGTTACAATTGTGGCTTAACTGTCTATATTTACTGCCCCTGAACTGCAAGTGTAGAGGAGCCCTTAAAGCTAAAAAAAAAGAACAAATTTTGAGCAGAAGCACAGGATCTCAGTGTTGCTCTTTTTTCCACCTGGTAGAAGCATTGAGCAATCCATTTATAAATTGTAGCTGTGCAGAGGTGTTCCTGTTCTAACAACCTTCACTGCTGCTTTCTCTCCCTGTTCAAGGTGACCGACCCCCCAGAGTTTAAAAAGATCTGCTACATCCAGCTTTTACCCGAGTACATGCACCCCAATAATGTAATTGACAGCAAATTCAATTTATGACTCATACACATGGCCATATTGCAAATATTCTGGGACATTTCTGAACCAAGGAGCTCACAGGTGCTGTGCACCTTTAAAAGTCAAAGGCTGTACATGGTCTAAGAGTGCGTAAGCATACATGTGCGTACAACCCTGGATGCAGTTGGCCTGCACCCAAAATTGTATACCGGTACATGTAAGCATGTGTGAGAGATGGAAATCATGGGGATGCAGTTTCCCAACAGGCACACATCATTAGGATGTAAGAGAAGAACCTACCCACATTGTCTCTCTATACTAAGCCTATCTGATTGCCTGTGATGACATCACAGCTACTTTTACAAGGTATTTCCTCTCTTTGCTAACTGAAAATAATGTTTTTTCTTTTACAATCCATGGTGACAAAGGAACTAAAAGTCAAATTACACATAAAGTAGATAAAGTTTTCAAAGTGAAATAGTCAGTGTTCCTATATGTACAAAAGCCTACAGAAAATCATGCAACAAATAAAGCCTGCTTACAAAGAGGGTGTACAGCCTTTCCAGTATTAAAGTCCAACAGACATATCGCTCTGTATAATCTTCAGGTAATGCTGCTCATTAGTTTTGTTTGGATAATAGGATGGTGGTCAGAACCCAGATCAAGCACGCTCATTCATCACCCTATGGCAGTAAAATCAACCTATTGCTTGCATCAGCCTTTTTGCTTTTTTTTTTTTTGTCCAAAATGTTAAACTGTAAGGCTACGTTCACACTAACGTTGTGTGCAGGTGGCAGAGAGGCGTTTGGGAAGCGTTTTTACCGCTTCCCAAACGCCTCTGCCAATTCTGCACATTACAGCACATGGTGCTGTTCTAACGGGAGCGTTTGCGTCGCGTTGCATTGCGTCGCAGCAAAACGGATGCCTCTGGTCGACTCAGGAGGCGTTGAAGCCTCCTATTCTCGTCTATGGTGCCGCTCCGCAAACGCCCGGCCGGCGTTTGCGGTGCGGTTGCGACGCGTTTGCGGAGCAGTAACACCACTCAAACTGCATTATAGGCGTTTGTGGGGCATTAACGCTCGGCAAACGCCTAGCAACCGCCGCTAAACCGCGCATGCGGAGTTTGCGGAGCGTTAAAAAACGCTCCGCAAACGCCGGCCCAACACTTGCCAAACGATATAGTGACGTTTTGCAAGCGTTGGTAAAACAGCCAAGTTTGAACGAGCCCTAAGTGTAACAAAACTATTGCTCTGTTTTGGTCTGACAAATATACTACAGAAAGGGTTTTGTAAGACAAGTTCAGAATATGAACTGTGCTGCACTGAAATCTCAAGTAGTTTTATTAGCTCTTCCCAGCTCACTTCTGTGGCCTACTAAACAACTCCCGTTTTTGTTATGGAGATGATGGAGAAAGGGAAGGTGCTCTGTAGTTCTAACATCTTTTCTGTGACACTGCTCCATAGATACAGTAAATATTGTCACCCGAGCACAGGAAGTATGTTATTGGCAGGATCACTGGGTAAAAACAAAAGGGGGAAAGCCTAAAAAAAAAAAAAAAAAAAAAAAAAATAAAGAAAAAATGAATAGAGCCATCATATTTAAGGACTAGTAAGTTGCAAAATAAATATATACACTCATCGGCCCATTTATTAGGTACACCTTGCTAGTGCCAAGAAAATATCCCCCCCACACCATTACACCACCACCACCAGCCTGAACTGCTGATACAAGGCAGAATAGATCCATGCTTTCATGTTGCTTATGCCAAATTCTGACCCTACCATCTGAATATTGCAGCACCCAGACTGCCCATTCTCCTCTGACATCAACAAGGCATTTTCATCCACACGACTGCTGCTCACTGGATATTTTCTCTTTTTCAGACCATTCTCTGTAAACCCGAGATGGTCTGCGTGAAAAATCCCAGCAGATCAGCAGTTTTTTTTAAATACACAGACTATCCTGTCTGGCACCAACAACCATACCATGTTCAAAGTCACCTAAATCCCCTTTCTTCTCCATTCTGCTGCTCAGTTTAAACTTCAGCAAGTCATTACATCTAGATTCCTAAATGCATTGAGTTGCTGCCATGTTATTGGCTGATTAGCAATTTGTGTTACCAAGCAATTGAACAGGTGTAACTAATAAAGAGGGGGGGGTGTGTGTGGGGGTGTGAGTGTGTGTGTGTCTAAATGGTTAGCACTTCCGCCTAGCAGTACTAGGCTCGTTGGTTCGAATCCCGGCCACGGCACCTGCCTGGAGTTTGCATGTTCTCCCTGTGCCTGCGTGGGTTTCCTCTGGGTACTCCGGTTTCCTCCCACACTCCAAAGGCATGCTGGTAGGTGAATTGGCTCCTGTCTAAATTGTCCTAGTATGTATATGTATGAATGAGAGTTAGGGATCTTAGATTGTATGCCCCTTGAGGGTTAGGGACTGATGTGAATGTATAATATATATGTAAAGCGCTGCGTAAATTGACGGCGCTATATAAGTACCTGAAATAAAGAAGTGTGTATTTATAAACCATTTTGTTTTTGGGCTTAGATACCCATTGCAGAAAGCCTAGTTTTAAGTGCCCATCAAGTGTCAAATTTTTGTTTTCAGAAGCATGTGGAGCAGAAAAAAAATACAGAAAAGAGTAAATCATGCATTCATACATTTATCGAATTAGGA